TATAGATCTTTGATATTGTGATTTCTAAAATAATAACCTTAATGAAACACATCTAAATCTCCTTAGATTTAGCATCTATAAGTCTGAAGACAAAGTACTAAAGTTTTCATAAACAGCTACAGAAAGGCGTTCTCTCCTGTTTGTGCTGTTTGGGCAWGACTGACATTGCTTCAGGGGCAAGTATTAGATTATATATCTCACATCTTTTTATCCATTTTGTAAATTCATTAGATCTCTTTTCCAAAATTTTTAAAACCACAAAAAGGACATGAAGTTATCTCATTTAAAAGCCCATTGTGTATTAGTCTTTCCTCAATCACTTTGCCAAACTATCTAAAAAAACAGAATCTGAAAATAATAGTAGATAAAGTCATCCACAAACTCACCCAAAAAACCTCTGTGCATTATATTTATCTGGAAAGATTTCTAAGCTCAAAGGGGAAATATCTGAGATGAAAACACATGTCCATATTGTTTTTTTAAAGCTTAAAATAATCTTCTTTTTTTTTTTTGTGCTGAATCATTGTTGTGTAGATATCTRTACATACTTGGGGATATAGTTTGAAATACAAAATATGATTTTAGGGGGTTATTGTTTGAAATGCAAACTATGATTTTTTACTACAGTCCTTGTCATATTTAAGAACAAATTTCATTTCAAAATATAACAGAAGGTGTAACTGAGATTAAGAATCACTATCAATAGCTACAGCAGAATGTAGCTACAGTGTGAAACTATAGATGAATGCATAGTTTTTCATATTATAAGGCACAATACTAAGTCAAGAGCTGTGGTCTTATTATACAGTTCCACCATTTCTAAGCTATTTGCATGAGAAATCAGTATCATTCATATTTCTAAAAACAAATCCATATGAATTTAATCTCCTCTATCAGCTCCTGCTTCCTTTGTCAAGAGGCCTTGGCAGACAAACCAGAGGCAATGCATTTACACACGACCTACTTTAAGTGGTAAAATATATAAATATTCCACTCCAAAAATTTGGAGAACCCAATTAAAACACTTTCAAATGCATTCACAAAAGAACACAAAGTCAGTGGAGGAATCAAGGCCTCTTTGACATGCTTATATAAGCAAGGTAATAATTGAGATGAAAAAATGTCAGAGGAGCCTCAAGTCCAAAAACAACACAGTTAATTAGCTGGAAGGTGGCAAAAGCACCATGACTGTGAGTCGTAGTCACGTACCAGAGCACAGTGTCGCCTGGCCAGTTAATGTGCATTTTAGCCAGAGTTTTGTACTACATTCTTCACCACAGTATCCGATGACAAAATAGATACTGCTTTGGACAACAGCTACACGGGGTTCRGAAATAGTAACACACGCAACCATGCAGTGGCTAGGCCTGAAATTATTCTGGCATTATAGTCAGTAAGGATTCCATCTCGGCACAGTTCTCTAGCTGCTTTGCTGGGCATATCCTTTTCTTGGCTACATACAGCTACCAATTGTAAACTTATTTCTAAAAATGAAAGAAAGAAAAAACTCTCAGTAACCCAAACAACTGCGAAAGAGCTGATTAGCTGATTGCAGTTGATTGTTTTCTTACTGATATCACAAAAACAGGGAGTCCAAAGCAAAGGAACCTCACCTGAAATATAGGAGGGYAGCTCCTCAGAAATCCTGACTATCTGCAAAACAAAAGAGCAAGATTTTCTTTGCATCTCCAGTGAAACTTCATCAGGCTTTTGGGACATCATTGATACATTGTGAGTGCAAAAAAAAAATTCTCTCTTCCTCAAGATCGTTCTTGTACAGAAATGCAGAAGTTCTCCAAATATCAATTAGTTGAGCTCAGAGGATCTTTACTCTCTGAGCCTTCTGACTCCAGCACACAAGCACAGCAAGGACCCGCAGGGCCGCAGTGAGCGGAGASGGTGGTCGTGCCCTTGGGTGCACTTACAGTAATCCGTGAAGCCCAAAGGCAGCGTGACCCAGCAGCTCCACGGCGGGCTTGCCAGAACACTCGGTGACCTTCGTGAGTCTGTACTTCCAAGCACGAGCGCTGTTTCGGGAGAATTTCAAAATGGTCCATACTTGTGTTGCTTAAAGTTTCAAGGGGAAAATACAGTAAGAAAACTAACAAACATTTAAGCTTGACAGATTATTTTTTGCAATTTTCAATCCTAATTTAAGGGAATTATGTCCTACCTTACTTCACTTTAGTTTGTGCTCACTAACTGCACTGTACAGCAAATAATGCAGATGTTAAAAGTCAAACCTAAATATTATGCATTTCATTAGTGTTCTTAATTGTTTTGGTTTGCCCTAATACAGGATGCCTCAATTATGAGCTGGGCAACTTTGCTGGTTATGCTTGGAAACTCACTGTATTAATATTCCTGGTTTTGCTAGCTGTTAACTTACTTTAAAAGAAAAATACAGCTAGAAACATGCCTTTCCTAGGATTACTGGTCAAAGTGCCTGTGAAAATGTAAACTGAATGGGTAGGAACACTGACTGGGTAGTTCAAATAATGACTGGAGAGTAGAAAGAGAAATGGTACCACCATGATCAGCAAGGCAGCAGTTCCTTAGACAACGTCTTTAAAAAGACTATGTACCTAAAAAGTAATTTTCAAGTGATTTTTCACTATATTATGTTTTCTTAAATTCAACAGTGCAATGAAGCATTTTAAGGCAGTGTTTGAACCTGTTATTGTACATCAGAATAATGTTTTAAATGTTCTAAAAGGAGGTTTTTATTACATTCTCATTATTTAGCAGTATTCTTTACATCCACTCATTTTTCTAAACCCTAAGATTTAGCACTACATGGCAGGCACGAATCCCACACACAAAGTGTACCTCTAGATAGCTATTTTCAAGAAAATTGTTACTGTAGTTACAGGACAAACTAATGCTGGAGTGTGGGTCAGCACAGGTTCCAGCATATTTTTAAATATGAATATAATGTCAAAATATTAGAATACTAGATTAATGTTTTAAACAGAAGAGCTATACTGAAGCCTATATTGAAGTCTGAGCATCCTACTATGAATGGAGTTCGTGCTTATTAATTGTATGCATCTATCTACGCTGATACCTCTATCACCTCATTTACTTTTCCAATAGCTTTACTATAATAGATGAAATCATGACTTCTCAAAAGATAAGAGGATAGATTGGATGCTAGAATTTGTGTACTTTTAACATTGGTAAAGCCCAAAATTCATTGAATTTTTTTTCTAAATGTTTCTGGCAAAATCTTTGTTGATTCTTCCTTTAACATTTTATAGTGCTTTATCTCTCATAAACCTTCCAGCATTTGTAAAAGTAACTATGTGTRAAGTTTTACAGCGAAATCGATGCACTGCTTTCAAGGGCTTTAGCCTGTCATTGTCCCGCTACTCCAGCGGCGATCCGGATCAACGCCGCACAGGTTGTTTTGTAACGCGTTGCGTGAACCGCGCAGGCGAAGCGCGGCCACCGCGGCCCTGCCTTCAGCCAGGGCTCGCTAGGGGGACTCTTTCCCCGCAGCGGAAGCGCAGACGCGCACCGCTGTTAACCAAACACCACGTCCCATTGCCAGAACCCTGCAGAGAAGTCATTTGAAAAGAAAAAAAAAAAAAAAGAAAAAAGAAAAAAAAGGGCAAAATTTTGTGCGACGCCGCCGCCTGAGCCGGGAGCGCCTGGCGCGGCTCCGGCCTCCGACTCGCCCCCTGGAGGCGCCTTCCCGCCCGCGGCGTTTCCACCAGCAAGCCGGGCCCTGGGATAGCGCCCGGGAAACACGGGAGCCTCCTCGTACCTGCCCACCAGCAGCAGCATGACGTCCCAGAGCCGCTCTGGGAAGAAATGAACTTGGCATTCAACTTTCCCAAGTTTATCTTTTTTTTTTTTTTTTTCTCCTGGCCAGGGCACTTTCAGTCTACTTAAAAGGGACTGACTTTCGCCGAGTTGTTTTTAATGCCGTTTTTATATTTTTGCTTTCTCCCTAACGAACAATTTCAAAGAATTAACGTTTCAGTCGTGGTTTCAACTGTTGTCGCTCGAATCGCCGTTAAGCTTCACAGACCTGTCCTGCAGAGACGAGGGCAGCGTCCGCGCCCTCCTCGGCGGTCGCCCCTAGCCTACCCCCCTCACCCCCGCATGGCCGGAGAAGTCTGCTTTTGGGGSACGGAGAAAGAAAAGGAGGGGAAAAAGTAGAAAACTCCTTTCTCCTTCCTCGCCGCCCAACGGAAGCCCCGCGCGCGCGCCCCCAACGGCCCCCTAACGGCTCCCCAACGACCCCGTAACGGCTCCCTAACGGCTCCCCAACGGCCGCAGTCCCCGCGTCCCGCCGGCAGCCGCTCCCGGCCGCGGACTACAGCTCCCAGGATGCCCGTCGGAAGCGCCGTCCCCTTCCCTGCCTCCCTTCCCCCCTCCCGGCCCTTGTTGTTTGAAAAGGCTCTGGCGGAGTTTCAGCACGAGCCGCGGCGGCTCCTCCGCTCGCTCGCGACGCGCGAGGCCGCCCGCYGGGGCGGGGAGGCGCCGCCGCTGTGAAGGAAAACTGGGCAGGGAAACAGGGGGAGAGGCTCTGGATCCCGACCCCGCCGTTGCCCCCGGCGAGAGGAGGGGAAGCCCACCCCGCTCCCGCCCCGCCGTCGGGACGGTCGCGGAGGCGGCGCCAGCGGCGCGGGGCGGCGGCTGGATCCTGCCCCGGGACGCCGGAGCCGAAGTTGGCGGCGGGGCGGCGGCCACCGCTCCTCGTCGTCTCTCCCGCTGCTGGCGTGAAGGGCGGCGAGAAGGAGGCGGGAGGAAGGCAGGGGGCAGGCTCCCCGCCCGGCCGCGCTCCTTCTTGCGCTCGGCCTCCGCGGCGCCTGTTTGTTTGTGCGTGAGAGGCGAGACACGCGCTGCTCCTCGCCCGCCCCTGCCGTGCCCGCCTCGCCCCGCAGCGCGGGAGGCCGGAGCGAGCGCCGCGCTGCCGCCGCTGCCGCTGCCGCGGGGGAGCGGCACGACCGAGAGCAGCGGGGCGACGAGGGCAGCGCGCCGGCGGCGCAGCCATGAGCGGCGGCGAGGTGGTCTGCTCGGGCTGGCTCCGAAAGTCGCCGCCGGAGAAGAAGTTGAAGCGCTACGTGAGTGCCTGTTCCCACGCGCGCCTTCCCGCCCGTGTCTGCCTTCCCTCCCCCCCCCCCGCGCCCGTCCCGTCCCATCTCGTCCCGTCCTTGCGGCTCCGCGGGCGCTGACAACGCGGAGCGCTCCCGCCGCGGCCGCCTCCCGCGGGACTTGGGTCGCTGTTTTGTTTGCTTCCTTCTGTGTTGGCTTTATTTCCTTTTACTTTATTTTTTATTTTTTTTGAGGGGAAAGAGAGGGGGAAAAAAGAAAGGAGAAAAAAATAAATAATAAACAAAAAAAAAAAAAAAAAGGAAGCCGAGTGGTCAGATCTTTCCCCCTTCGTTTTTACCGTCTTTTTCTGAGAGAGCTGGGAGCGATGGGGGGCGGAGTTTTTTCCCCTCTTCCCTTAGGATCCGGGCTCGGAGATGTATGCATTTTAAATGTAAACACTCGCCGTGCGGGTGCCGAGCCCGGGCCGGTGCCCTCCCCGCACCGTGCCGCGGCGGCCGGAAAGTCGCTGCCGGCCGGGCCGGGGCACCCGGGATCGACCGGGAGCGGGGAAGAGTTTCGAGAATTTTTCCATTTATTTATTTATTTTATAGCAGCCTCCTGTTGCTCAGAAGTCCGTGTTTTCAGGAGGCCGTAGCGGAGCTGACATTTGGGCTGCGGGCAAGGGGAGCTGCTCTGCTGAGAGGGCAGGTTTCGCGAGGGGAACAGCAGCGCCCTTGTGCTCGGCCCAGGCGCTGTCAAGTCACGTAGGAGGCTCGGGGGGATGCCAGGAGCCCTCTGTGCCCAGGCCTTTCCCACTGGCACCGGGTGTTGGGGCCTCTTTTTTTTCTCTCTCCCCTCTTTTTTTTTTTTAATCTTTGTTTAGCAAGTATTTAAATAGAAACAGTTTTTGCCGTTACCAGCTTTTATGAAAGTAGTTAAACAACACAGACGGATCTGCAGAGTGCAGCTCTTACCGTGACCTTGTTATTTTTGTTGGTGGTGATTGGCAGTCATTTTGCAAAGAATAAACTTGGGAGAAGCACACTCTGGTTGTTGTCCGTGGATTTTTGAGTGACGAGGAATTGCCAAATGTGACTCTTCCACCTTTTCTTCTTCCAAAAAAAAGGAGGAGGGGAAGTAGCCCGCTCCCCTGTTCCCAGTGGCAAAAATGCTTTTCATGCTGGGAGTGCGGGATCAGACTTGCAGGGAGAATGTCCTCATGGGCCCAGGGAGGGCTGTATTTCCCTGCCACGTTGAGCAGGGGCTGCTTTTTGCCTGATTTGCTACATGTGCATGTATACATATGGGCTGTACACTCCTAGGCTATCACTGAAGTGTTGAAATTGTGAAGGTAGTAAGTATAAGTAAAATACTTCAGGTTACTTTTTTTTTCAAGTTTGAATTAATTTTCTGTGCACGCTTTAAATTACAAGCAGTTATCATGGTTGTTGATGGAAGATAATATGAACAGGAGCCTGGTGTCCTAAATTGATACCATAAATCAGCTTCTAAATACACTAGCTTGCTTCCCCCCCGCCCCAATGTACTCGCTCCTGTGTTAGCATAACATCCCAGCCCTTAAGAGGAAACCTCTAACTGTGGTGTTGGTTAAGGAGTTCCCAGGTCCGAAGAAGCAATTCCTCTATGTTTGCTTGAAACAGAGGGCTTTTTGAGGATGTGGAGTACCCAAGTGATGGGATGGCATGCTTACATTAGCTCTAGGTTGACTCGGTACCGTTTCTGTATGCACTGTAGGCCATAAGGTCATAAGTTTACATCTTCCACATTGCTGTGGACTGTTATCTGCTTGTACTCTCCTGTGTGGAAGAAAGGGGCTGGTCAAGGGAGGAATTTAAGCAAGATTCCTCCTGCTGGTCTGTAGCACTGATTAGTTGTAGGCTGGAGGTTCACATGAGCTTCCAAGGCATAAAAGTGATCTGGGCATCACGCTTGTGGTTTTTGTCCAAGCAAAAAGTTGTCATACTCACGACAGTGAATTTGCATTGTGTGCACAGTGATTGAAACCTTGGCTTCTACTCTCTCTAATTTTATGTCTTTGGTGAGGCACAGGCAAGCTGTCTTTTTTTTTTTTTTTTTAGCTCTGTTTTATACTGGTGATATTTCAGGAGGCTGCAGCAGAAGAAAAGACAGGAAAGCATTTTCAGTAAAAAACGGCTGTTCTGCAATGCATACTTTTCACATATATATATATGGAAAATTGTAACTTCACGCCCTATTAGTTTTTTGCATGCAAGTGTTGGGGCAAATCCAGGTTACCATCTGGGAAGGGAGATAAAAAGTTTGAAATTGCAGTTAAATATGGTTTCAGTTCCTAGGAAGGGTGAAAAGGAACACTTTGAAGCTAGTGCATAGACATATGTTTCACAGCAACTTTAATTTTTGTTTGAAGCAGTTGGACACAGTATTAAAGCTAGCTTATAGCCATTTGGAGCCTAAAAAGAAAGAGCTGTCCTGGAGGTGGAAAAATCAGATTTGYTTGGATGGATGCCTTAGCACCGTGTATTTCTTTTCCTACCTTAAAAGCAGTCCTATTTTCCTGTCTCATTCATGCATTTTTGGTTTGGAAGTAACTTAAAGCTAACCATTGTCACCTGTTGCTGGTTCCCTGAAGCTGGGAGAAACCAGTATGGGGACTGGTTTATTTGCTGGAATGGGCTGGCTGTTTCCAGCAGCAGATCTGTGAAACCTTGGTGTCAGGTGTGGATCAGAGATCGGGATGTGCGTTTGGGATGGGAGAAGGGAAAGGAAAGTGGAGCTAAATCCTACATAGGTCCCACGTGAGTGCTGTGAGAGAACTGGTTTTTGCACAGGTATAGGGGACTGCTCAGCGTTGCAGCTTCTGTGATCCTCCAAATCGTCTCCTGCTCTCACTTGTTTGGTTGCTGTCAGTTTTGCATATGCTTTCTGCTTTAACCTACTGCCACTAACTCGCATTTTTTCTGCTCTAGTTCTCTCATTTTCAAAGATCTAAACGGAAAACCTCTTCCCCCCCATCAGTCCCTTTAAAAATGGAGAGTAAAACTTGCTTTCATAATTCTCTGCTATATTGCATTTTTTTCTGTGCCAGCAGAAGTAGCTAATWTTCAGTGTGGTAGCCCAGTGTAGAGAATCAGATACTTAAATACAGCTGTCTCCTTGGTGAAGCAAGGGGCAAAAATGTTGAGTGAATGGGAGAGACTCTTTTGAGACATTTCTTATAATTGCTACATTTTTGTTTGCATGGTGGCTAGGGTTAAGTATGACTAATGAATATGCTTAAAGCAAGAATTTGAGTCTTGATGGTTGGTTTATACAGTTGATTCACAGAAATTGTACTGATGTAGGGAGTAGCATTTGGTGTTTTGGTAATTTTAAAGCAAGTGTGGTGTAACTGAGACTGAGCTTTGTGTTGCAGTGGCTTATGTTCTTGAGTGAGAATGTGATACATCTSCATGTTCTTACTGAAATATGCTCAATTTTGTGTAAGTTAAAACTTCATTTAAAAAAAAAATAGAAGCAGGCTATATTGTAGGGGGAGCCACCACCTTTATGGGTAGCTTGGTTCAAGATTTTTCTGCGTATCTGATAGTCTTTCCTGTGCTTAGAGACTCCCAAGACAGTTTTAAAAGTAAATTAGAGCCCTTAATTTTCATCCTTCTCTCTTTACAATAGTGCAAAAATAGAAGGATTTGTTTTTGTAATTGATCACTCRTATAGTTATTTAAAAGTCAAGAGTTTAAAAATGAGAAACTTCTTTTTTTTTCCTACAAAACATTAGGGACACACTGATATAATTCAAAGAAAAACTATGTAGCATTCAACAGCTYATTCTAATGTTGTCCAGTTTAGACAACTGGGATGAGGTAGTGACTAAAACATCAGAGATTATTAAACTGATTACTGAGTTTTGAACTATAGTCTAAGGCAGTACAGGTGCAAAAATAGAAGTATTTTACTATGGGCCTGTATGGCAGTTACTCTTTGACACTAATCACATAGCTCCTATTCTGTCTTGAGTAATATTAAATATGCTAAGATATGTAATGGTATTAAGAAATATTTTATTCRGCAGAATAGCTGTAAACCAGTACAAGCTGAAGTGCCTGACAAAAATCTTCTTTAGGGAAGGCATATATTTGTTAAAACCTTTTTTATTTGCTTACCATGCTGATGGAAGATCACAAAGACAGCTGATTTATACAAAAAAAACAAGATGGCTTTGTTTGTTTAGTGCTATCCCTGTGGAGTGGCCGAGTTAATTCAAGACAGGGGAGCCTAATCTAGTAAAACTGAGGCATCTTAATATTCTGAATATGGTTGTGCTTGTGCTACTCTCAGAGTTGCTGAGGAGCTTACAGGAATTGCACCATGCTTGTGCAGGAGCCTTATGCTACAGAAGAAAGTCGTGAGGTGTGACTTTGGGGGACCTGCACTTTGCAAGCTTGTTCTTTGGGCACTCTGCCTCCTCTTAGCAACACAGGAGCCAGGGTGCAGGTATCTATTACCCTTGCCCCGCGGGCATTTGCAGCCTGCGCTGGCTGCTGTGCTGCGAGAGCCGTTGCTGAGCTGCTTGCGTGCTCTGAATCCTCTCGGCCCAAAGGGCTTCCAGGGGAAAGGCTGGAGAGTCTGTACACAGAACTAGTATGTCTAGTGTGCACATACCGGCAGAAGAGACTCCTCTTGCTTAGTTACTCTGCATCTTATGTGATTCCCATACTGATGTACATAATTTAATGTAAATATTTCTGAGCTTGGGTGATCAGTCTTCTAGTTYTCCAACTCTTTAAATACTTCTGCTCCAGTTAGAGACCTGACTCGCGGAAATGGTCCTGTTCCTCTTTAAGTGAAGATGATCTGTTGGACATATGAAATTATCCAGATATTCATAAATGCTTTTCTTGATATTAAGASTTTTTGTTAACTGTTAGATGGTAACTCTTATTCTGGGGCTAAAATAGCTGAGAGCTGCGTCAATTCCTGCCTTTCAATAACATTGCAGACTGTTCTCGCTTAGGTGCACACCAGGTTA